TTACGGAAAATCAGTTAATTAAAAAACGGAGACGTAACAGTATTAATGTCCGATGTGAATCCACTGAAGTTAAATGGTTTGTAATGTTCGAAATTTATAAATATTTCTGGTCAAATATCTGAAGTTTTCTGATTGATAAGCGTTATAACACAGTTATAGCTTCAGAAGTTTATAGCATACTAACTATAGCAAACTGATAACAGATACTCTCTTTGGTGCGTCGCGTTGGTTATATTAGTAGCCGTTTGGAGTCGTTCTAGAAATTTCAGTTTTACCTAATAATATTGAGCTACATTTAAGCGTTTACGTATATATTAAAATTGTTGATTCTTACTCTCAAGAATCTTCTAAACTTTGGAGAATAGGCGGGAGTTTCGCAATACATATTTAACACTAAAAGCTACACATATTTTAAAATATAAACTTAATCTAAACAAACGTTGATATTAATATATATATATATAATAACAAATTCGTTATATTTTGAATTTATTTTTTTCAATTTTATCCTTATCCCCTCTATCCTATTTGATAAAACAATATCAATTACGAAGTGGCGAGGACAATCACGTTTTCGTAAGCTGACAAGTCCAGTCAGATTTAAGTTTGTGCATTAGCATTTCAAGTAGAATCAATGTCATTTATTTTCGTTACGATCATATTACGTTATTTGGGTAATACGAATTTCTAAAAACCTTGGAGACGTATGTGGCTTGTGTTAGTAAATATACAACTGGAAAATATATAACTGTTTAAAATATGTCAAGAAATAGTGTTCATTGGTTTTCTTGAGTGTTCTAAAATAGGTTGAAGGAGACGATTAATAATATTTAAGAATATGTAAAATTTGTTGAAACTGCCCCCCCCCTAAATAAAGAGGGTTCCATGTGGCAAATGAGGTACGAATATGTTTATACTGCAAAAATGCCATTCATGCTTTTTCGTATTGTTATTTACTTATTTTTACTCCTTTATCTCTGATTATAAAAATTTTTTGCTGAATTTAACACAGCTGAAAAGTATAATAAATAAATAATAGTCAAGTCCTTACGAAATACTGGATGAAAAGATATAAAATTACTCTAATACCTTCGTTACAGGATATGAGAGATAAATAAAAAAAATGTTTATGTTGAATATAATATTGTCCTTGCACGTGCTAGAGCTTCTGATTGTACTTGTATTAGGAAATTCTCGTGTTCTTCAGATGTGACAATTTATGTACTCAGCAAGTAACTGTAGAATCCTAAATATTCCACTGCTCTTTTGTTCTTCTTTTAAACTTTAAAAAGTCCATTGTGCAACTGTATGTTTAACAAGAAACAAACAAATCTCAAATGTAATTCTTTACTAGTTTCCCTAACAAAATCATCGTTAACTCTGAACAAGTGAGAGACTGATAACTGATTGTTGTTGCTTTATGTTTTACTTTGTTTGAAGATCAGGCTATCTTTCACTGTGATAATTAAATACTTCTGCTTTTATATCAATTTGGGTTTCTATTAATTAATATAAGTATTATTTTCTGTATTATAATACACATTTATGGGTACACAGGCTTTACTCATTCATAAAATGAAACCTGAGACAGGAAAAAATAAAGCTGTAATACCAAAACATTTATGGCGGTAAATATTTTGTTTCTGGAGATAACTGTGATTAATGCTAGGCCAAAAATACAAGCAAAATATGATTCAGATAGTGGTACGAAGCTTGAAAAGAAAAAATATGTATGAGAAAGAAAGAATTCTACAAACTGTTAGAATTAAAAGTCCGTAGATGGCGCTACAAATATACCATTAGTGTGAGGGACGCGTGTATATATGAGGAATCACACTGAGGAGTGAATGAGAAACGGTTTACAAGTGGTACTGCATACTTTTAAGAAAATGTCTCTTGACGAGGTAAGAGTTGGATAATTTTCGTTATTCTAAGTATACATTTCACGGTCCTTAGTAGAGACCACCTTACGATCTGTGGAAATGTATATATTTTACTTGAACAAGAAAACCGTACTTCGGTTTTTACGTATTAGTAAGAATTTGGTCCGTTTACCATGGAAATAGAATGCTAGTACTAGTACCACTTTATCGACCGTAATTGTTTGTGTCCCTTAACGACAAAATCACAAAAGTACCTCTTTAAGAATTAAATAAGAGTAGCCTACTTATTCTTACATTTTTGTAGAGTTAAGAGCTTACTTGATTAATAACGTGTGGATAATCACCTTTGAATATTGTACCTAAAATCTTGAAACACCCCCACAGTGACAGTTCAGTAATATTAATAATTTTGTTTCCGTAACTTAGAAAATTATTTATTTTCTTTATTGGTGAAAGCGTAATTTAGTGGGTTAACATTATGACCACAATCATACGATACATTACTTAAAATCCCCATTTTATGTTTTTTAATACTTTCTTTGTTGGATGTTTTGGCGCTATTGAGTTATGAAAGGGTCTACTTCACCGAGTTCCACGAATGCTGCATTAAACACCTGGTGGTAAAAACGGAAGTTAACTCAAGCATTTAGGTAGAGATAAAAGTGGCCGTGAAAGCTATGTGTAGGGGTTTAGAAAATATTTATACGAGTAAATCTATGATGGGATGGTTAATTTGATGAACGAAAATATGATAGAGCGATTTAAAAGAGGAATTACTCCTCAGGATGTTTAATAGTTTACTATATATATATACACGTACTCGTAAGTTAAAAACATGTAACAGTCTTAAAATTTTCATTGTTAATATTTTGGTATGGTACTTCAAAATAGGAAAGAGATAAAAAAAAAAAAGTAGTTAGAGGTGGAGTGGATAGTCAGTGTTCCTATTCTAACAATTGGAAACATTTTGCAATAAATCTTTATAATCAAATGTGAAAAGTGGATTAAATGGTGATATAGATAGTACAGTATAGCAATGATCATATAATATCTTGCATGCTTTTTTAAAATCAAATCGTGTGCAGGGAAAAGAATTGAAACAGCAGTGATATACAATGTGATAATGTATAAAAAAAAATACATACACGTTTTTCTTGTTGCATTTATATGTTTGAATGTTAAATATTAAATAATAGGTTTATATGTGTAAATACAGTATTCAGAAACAAACGAAAATGCCTCCTGCTGTTGATTTTAAGTGTAAAGTTTCTGTTGTAATGTGTTTTGATACAGGAGTTGAGTCATTTTATATATTTGTCTTTTTCTCCATCTTGTTTACACAATTTGATTTAATAATGATAATATTTTATTCCAATAAAGAACTTGTATGCTACAATGATTGACTCCTGACTTTACAGAAATTTAACAAAGCTGCCGAAGATGTGAATAAGCTGAAGAGCAGACCCACAGACGAAGAACTTTTGGAACTTTATGCTTTGTACAAGCAGTCAACCATTGGAGACTGCAACACAGGTAAAATTATTTCTAAGAAATTGTGATATTGAATTTCATGATATGTGATGATACAAATAGTATACAACTTGTGTTAATATAAGTTTTTTTTTTTATTCTAAATGATAATTTTTTTTTTTTGTAATGACCCTTGTTTAGAATACTCTTTTATACATTTCTAATTTTTGTTAACATTTTTATTTGGTATAGAATAATTAACATACAGCTTAATAAATTAAGCTGCTTTAAAGCAGAGAGAATGTATTCAAACTGTACACAGTAGTAAGATGATAGTTAAAGAGAAAGTAGTTCCTTATTTCAATTAAAAAAATTTAAAGTAGAGAGAATGTATTCAAACTGTACACAGTAGTAAGATGATAGTTAAAGAGAAAGTCGTTCCTTATTTCAATTAAAAAATTTAAAGTGGAGAGAATGTATTCAAACTGTACACAGTAGTAAGGTGATAGTTAAAGAGAAAGTAGTTCCTTATTTCAATTAAAAAAAAAAGTGATGCATGAAAAATTCAATAAAAGTGAATGCTAATTTATAGTTTGAAAATTTACCCAAGGTCCAAACACCAACCAGCACATAGGGTCATTCTTACACATTATTTACCTTTTCTACATTGTTGTAAAATTAAATAGTACATGACATTTAATTTCAAATTTTAACAGAGGTCCGAACTTTGGTGATTTCATAGCTGTCTATGGCCGTTGTCACTGAAGGAAGTTAATCTAGAAAATATGAGAAAAAAAAAATGACACCATTGGTATCATGAACAGCTTTGAAACTAAACTAAATGTGAATCAGTGGTTTGTTTCATAAACTGTTTTGGATGAAGATTTAAGGTTGCATTATTTAGTTTAAAAATTGAATTTTATTTACAGAAATACCATAAGTCCAAAACTAACTCGGCAACAAAATGTATATGTGCATATTTGAAAACTTTAGTACAATAGACTATGTATTATGTAAAAATTGTGATTTCTGTGTGGCATTTCTCTATGGCATTAAAGATTTCTATCCTCATTACTTTCAGTTGTAACTCAATGTAAGAGCCTGAATATTAGAAGCTGGAATAGGATTTGGAATTCTTAACTTTATTGACATTTTATATGCATGTGGGCTAAATGGACAGGCAGATACCCCTAGGATTCAGTTATCGCCATTCCTTTGTTTGAACTACTCACCAGAGGGAGGACAGTCTGCAGCATCTGTTGCCATGAGGGCTTTGTCTGAACCAAATAATGTGACTGACTGTCACTTTTATAATGAAGAGTGTTTAATGGTATCACACCTCCAGTCTCCATCCCAACACGTTAACCAATAAGTTTTAATTTTAAGTTATTTAATAATTCCCAAAGTACTTGACTGCTGTATTTTATGCTTTTGAGTGATTGTTCAGACGTTACAGTAGCAGCCTGAGTCGGGCATAGTCTGGTGATTAGCATGCTAGGCTGCTGACTAAGGTTCAGGACCCAAGCCAATGATGCACAACTGAACACATCCCATACTTGTTCATTGTGTTATTATAAAGATGAGAATTAGTTCTATAATATAATTAGAAGTAGGTGATGCTGTTGACTGGTTGTGGTTCCAATTTATGAATGAATATGGCTGAATGTTGGGGCTTTGACCTGGTTGTAGTTCCAACTTAGGAATGAATATGGCTGAATGTTGGGGCTTTGACCTGGTTGTGGTTCCAACTTAGGAATGAATATGGCTGAATGTTGGGGCTTTGACCTGGTTGTGGTTCCAACTTAGGAATGAATATGGCTGAATG